GGGGGGGGGGGGGGTTCTCTGTGAGAAAATCTTTTGACTCCCCCCTGTTTTTCCCGAAATTCAGACCCCCGTGAATTGGTTTACGAAAATCGTTCCATAAGGAGGTGCAGTCTAGCTGGAGGTCTCTCTGTAACAGCCCATTTCCGGGGAGAAGGGATTTGGTGGAGTATGTCCTCAAGAATGACCTGGGAGCTACCGTAAACGCGGAAGTTTTCTCGAGATAAACGCAATTTGAGAATGTTTTTGGCGGATATTATACGGGAGAATGCGGGGTGAGAAGGGAAGGGAAGGATTATTGATTGAGGAGAGGATTGATTGAGGATTATTGATCATTTGAGATTTATCGATCACAGTTCACGGATCTTTTTTTATTTGCAAAATTTGGCAAACGCATGAAATCTGACTAAGGCAGAAAAAAGTAAGGACACGAAAAATTCTCTCACGCAAGAAAAAATACCTTGAACTAGCGCACAACGCTTTACGCAACTTATGTATAATCCCGGTATTAAGAGGGCTCCGCCTCCTGGCCGCTCTGCGGCCCGACCCCCTCGTAGATTCTGTCAAATTATGATGAGAACATCACTTAATTTTTTTTTTATACATTATTGTTGTAATTTTCATTAATACTACTAAAGTTCCTTTAGATGCTTATCCATTTAAATCATTCATTAACAATTCAGCTAAAAATTTACCTTCAGTAATGGCATAATTTCCCAAATTTAGTGATGTAGGTATATTTTCGCTTGATTTAATTTTAGAAAGTATGGGCATATTTGTTATGTTAATGACACATACTTCCACAAATTTAATTTATTCGAAATTTAATCAATTTAAAATCAAAGTCATTGTCACAGCAAGGATGAATCTAACTAAATTAGGATGAACTTAGATTGAACGGAATAAATGCCGTTGCATCTATCAAACTACGGTATAGGTTGTTTATCGATCCTCGATATGTCGTTAGATATAAAGCAGGATTTACTGGGATAAAACTGGCTGTATTGATATTAACCGGGTCAAATGTAGGAATTTTGAGAAAAGGGGAATAATCTTCCTGGCAAGCAAGGAGCCCAACCCCAACCTCTCGGGACTGCCCTACCTGGCACCCAAGGGACCGTGGTGTGTTTGATGTGATTCGTGTGTTCATTTGTACGGCGTGTTTGATGTGTTTGTGTGTGACTTTGTTTCATTCAGAATAGAGGGATGATACCAACATACACACTATCATAGGTCTTCAAGTTTCATTCCATTGAGTTTGATGTGTTTAGTGACCCTGGTAAAACTGATCACCTAAACAATAGGCGACATCGCCAAACAAATAGGCGACATCGCCTAAAAGGTAGGTGACATCACCTAGAAGGTAGGTGACATCGCCTGGAAGGTAGGTGACATCGCCTGGAAGGTAGGTGACATCACCTGGAAGCTAGGTGACATCACACAGGTCGCATTTGAGTTTCAGGATTACGTAAGGAAAAATTAAATATTAACTAGCTAATTATTGGATAATTTCATGGGTAGATAATAGAACATTTGCTTTGTGCTAGACATTTTTATATCTACAGTGGAAAAGACTATAAGAATAAATATATGTAAAAAAAGGAAATTTAGAACATTCAGTAAAATAAAAACATGAGTTAAAAATAAAATAGATTAAAGACATGTAATGTCGTAAAAAAATATACGTTAGAAGCGGACGTTAGAAAATGAAAAAAGTGAAAAACAAAATAAAGTGAAAAATAAAATGCAGTCTGAAAATGAAACATGGTACATAAAATAAAATAAAATTAAATAAAATAAAATAGAGAAAAAAGTAAAATAACACAGCGTGAAAAAATAAAAAATCAAAAAATAAAGTAAATTAAAAAATAAAATATAGCAAAAAAAATAGGGAATAGAATAGTGAAATAATAAAGTAGATAGTAAAATGAATGAAAAAGAATATAAACTGAAATAAAGGTAACGATGAAAAAAATAGGTAAAAAATAAAATGAAGTAAAGTAATAAACTGAAATGAATTAAAGTAAAAAACGAACAAATCAATAAAAACTGGTCGAGATATCCTGGCTGTACAGTGCACGTTTAATTCGAAGCTAAATGCAGGTTTTTCGTCACTGTTTTCAGGCGGCCGGCATCCCAGTTAGACAAAAAATATTTTTAAGAAATTTTAAAAATATTAAATTAATATTTTCACAAAATATTTTTAAAAACTTTTTATATTATTTTTAAAATCTACTCATGTTAACCTCAGTTAATTTGAAAAATATTTTTTGAATATTTTCAAAATATTTCTTGAATTTTTTCAAAGTATTGTAAGAATATTTTAAAAATATTGC